TTTTTGAAACCATTAGTGAAAAGGCCAGACTTCAGGGGTATCTGAGGCAGGCTTGAAACACAAGAGTCAGGGTGGCTTCTGGGTAATACCAGATGGCTAGGCCTCAGACTGACGAAGCCTCTTGGATGAGGGGCGAAATGTTTCTTTTTTAACAAAAAAACGAAGTCCAGATGACATGATTCAACCTTTTTTGTTATGTTTGTGATATTAAATATTTATTTAATCTTTCTAAATTCCTCCATCATGTACAGTATCTTCTTTCTCTCTCATATCTCTGACAAATTAAAATCACATGTTCTATTGTGTCTGTTTCTCCGCGATATTGACACTTTCCTGTTTCATGTTTTTGTATTCTGATTAGCAGTGGTGGAGAAAGTACTCAAACACTGTACTTAAGTAAAAGTATAAATAAACAGACAAAAATGTACTCTAGTAAAAGTAGAAGTACCACATTAACATTTTTACTTAAGTAAAAATAAATAAGTACTTGCTTTTAAAATACTTAAAGTACTAAAAGTAAAAGTACTTCCTGAATGTATTACATAATGCAATGGTCTACATATCTTTAAGTCTGCCTACCATATGCATATTTTCTGTAATGCATTAATAGTGTTGTTCCATTTTAATGAACAATGCTGCAGATAATACATGTTTTTATTGTGTTTACTCTGTGACACAGTTCACACTTGGACTTGTGATTCTGTGCGTCAGAATTTCAGGGATGACCTGCAGAGTTCAATGCCATTAAGCAAAATAAGAAAGAGGAATGATTTTACCTTTGAAAGTTTCTATTTAGCACAAAACAAAACCAATGTGTCATTTTAACTGCAGTAAACACATTTAAGTAAAAGTTGTCTGCCTGAACAAAAGGGGCATTAGACACAACTAACAAAGGAATAGGCTCTGATCATTTCCACTGATATTTCAACTCCAGTTTGTCATCAACTCCAGTTAAAATACTGTCTAGTCGACCTTGTAATGGATCAATAGTGAACATTATTTTAACTCCCTGACACCGTTTTTAAAACTTGGACCTGAGCGTCGAGCCATTTGGAGACATCTCTTGTCTCCTAACACTCCCTCCCGGAGGGGGATCTTCTCCTATTGGCTGACCACCTAGTCAATCTAAGGTTACCTTGGCAACCACGCAGTCATATTTCTTATCTTTCAAAGAAAAAATAGTTTTAACTGGCTTTTGGTACCAGTCTCAAAAGTTACTTTTGTCTCGTTTTTCTGTCTACAGAAAAACGATTCGGCCCCTCCTTCCTGCTCAGTGCTGTATCTATGCAAACAAGTTTTCCACCTCTATGTGATGAAGTATAAGTGAACAGCTTATAACGCACACAAATAGATATGATGTGAATAAAGTAAAAAATATAAAACTATGCAAAAAGTGAACATACAGAGTACAGAATAAAGTGAACACACAGTGTATAAAATGTCCAGCGAATAACACACCCAGCTATTCATCAGACGCCACTATTGTCGAACCGGTTAACACCATAGACATAATATGCCTGTAGTTAACACAAACGGCTTTTCTTTCGTTTAGGCTTTTTTTCCTATAGTCCAATCAGATATACCCCTACCCGGATACGCCTCGTCCGATCAGATCAGATGTGCCCCCCCCACCCAGATATGCCTTCTGAATTTGTCTGCAGAGATACCTACTTGCTTGGAACAGAGAAACTTCCAGTGTTCTGTCGGTTAGTCATATACTGTCAGATTGTCATAGGGTCAGACCACTTGTCAAAAATGAAATCGTGATAATCAAAGGTGAGCGCTTGTTATCCGATTTTTTTCGTTTTGTGCACAAAATCGGAAATCGGATGACGCTTTGCGAAACACGAAAAAACAAGTGTTTTTTTAATTAATTTTTTGTTTTAAACGAACTGCCTGAATGTACACGGACCTACACGGACCCTTGACTTCTTCCCTTGCTGTTCCACAGCAATTGATGAAGATGCAGCCGACATTAAAGCCTTGTACCGTCGCTGTCAGGCTCTGGAGAAGCTCGGAAAATTGGACATGGCTTTCAAAGATGTGCAGAGATGTGCCACCCTCGAGCCAAAGAACAAAACCTTTCTGGAGACTCTCCACAGGCTGGGAACAGAAATCCAGGCCAAGGTCAGCAAGGATAACATACCTGATACAAATTTACCATGATTTCTTTGCATGAAATTAGTACTACTAAACAAGTTCAACAAAAGAGCAAAAAGTGGTGTGAACAGTCTTTTTGACATTTGTCTCCACAGCTCAAAACAACATTCTCCACAGATTCAAGGGTGCAGAACATGTTTGACATTCTCCTTGATGAGGAAATGGACAAAGAAAAGAGGGAAAAAGTGGGTATTCTGAGAAGTTACCAGCAGATACAGGAAGTGAACCAACCTCCTGTGTTTACTTTTTGTCTGCTTGTGGGTGAAAAGTTCATTAGCAGTGTTTAGACAGCGTTTCTTTCTGGGTAATTTCTACAGGCGGCCAACAATTTGATTGTGTTGTCGAGGGAAGACGCAGGAGCAGAGAGGATATTCCAGAGTAACGGAGTAGCTCTGCTGGTCAACATGATAGAGACGGGTAAAGCAGAGATGATCCTGGCTGCTGTCCGCACTCTGTCAGGAATGTGCACGGGACACAAAGCTCGCGTGAGTCCAAACACAGGCAAAAAATCTGGAAAACTTCTCTGACCACATCCTTGAAAATGAATTTAACTTTACATTTGTACATATGAATTATTTGTACAGTATTTTCCTCACATTATCCTTTTCTTAAATAGGCTATGGCCATCGTTAACATGGTAGGCGTGGATAAAATATGCAGCATCATGGCTCTTGACAATGAGGAAATTGCACTGGCGGCATGCAGCCTCTTTCAGAACATCAATGACTCCCTCACTGGTGCAGATGCAAGGGATTATGGGAAAGAAGCCTCTTTAGTTTTGGGTAGGAAAAATAATATTCAGACATAGTAATAATAATATTGTTGACACTTTTATTCAGTCTTTCCTGCTGAATCATTGGTTTAACACTACAAAGCACAAATATTTAAGATCATTTTGCAGTTGGTACTGTTTTCAACCTCACCACATACTGAGTCATTGTGACATTTTATTCCAGATGCAGCCAAAGATTTGAAAAAAATTCTTCTTGCGCTTCTGGAGATGGTTGCCAATAAAAAGGTGTCTGGCCATGGCAGAGACCAGGCGCTGAACCTACTGAGCAAAAATGTACCTTGCAGTGACAAGAAAGCGAAAGACAACTCCAGGACCTTGTTCACTATAGATAACGGTGAGCCAGGCGGTTCCATTAGGTTGACTTTTTTTTTTGTCTCTTGATTCAACTCAATGATGTATGGGTTTGTTTATTCAGGTCTGAAGAAGATCCTGAAGGTTTGTGGTCAGGTTCCTGAACTGCCAGACCAGCTGCCCATGACAGAGAACACGCAGCTGATTGCTAGTGTTCTTCTCAACAAGCTCTACGACAACCTGAAATGTGATCCAGAGAGAACCAACTTCAGGGACATCTGCAGTGAATATGTCAGGTATGTCATTACAAAAACAAACATGCGCATAAATTAATAAGAGCTTTAATACGAATGTTTTAAATTTGATTCTTCTGTTGTCTTTATTATTCACTTCTTTCCCTCAGATCTAAGATTGACCCCAACAACATGGACAAGTCTCTCCACGCTATCAACACCATCTCAGGAATCCTGCAGGGTCCCTTTGACGTTGGGAATTCCCTGGTGGGACAGCAAGGCATCATGGAGATGATGGTAGCACTGTGTGGCTCCGAACGCGAGGTGGACCAGATGGTTGCCGTGGAGGCGCTGATCCATGCATCCACGAAGATGAGCCGTGCCAGCTTCTTCATTACCAATGGTGTGTCTCTGCTGAAGGACATCTACAAGAAGACAAAGAATGAGAGGATTAAGATTCGTGCTCTGGTGGTGAGTGTGACAAAAACAGGACTTCAACATAATGCAGATCCAAAGGGAGTTCTCAAACACATTAAGTCAATGATAGAGCTTTAATTAGTCCATGTCCTTTGCAGGGTCTCTGCAAGCTGGGTTCAGCTGGAGGTGATGATTATGGCTTAAGGCAGTTTGCTGAAGGCTCCACAGAGAAACTGGCCAAGCAGTGCAGGAAGTGAGTCACACATATTACTCTACACTGCAATCCGTACCATACCCCTTTGTTTATAGAGCACTTAAAACAGCAACAAGGCCAACCAAAGTGCTGTACAGCAGAAAAACAAACAAGCAAACACAGCAAACATAAAATAAAGTAAAATAAAAATATAGATACAAATAGCAGAATGTATATATTCTGCTGTTTGTATCTATATTTTAACTAGTTATTATAATAACTATATGGCTAACACTGTAGAATACAGATATGTTCAAAACAGATCACACAGTGTTAAAAGCCCGGGAATAAAAGTGGGTTTTTAATCGAGACTTAAAAACTGTGAGGGAGGGAGCCTACCTGACAAGCAGTGGCAACTCATTCCACAGTCTTGGACCTGCAACAGAGAAAACCCTGTCCAGCACTCTGAAACACTTTTTATGCAAAGTGCATAGTGTTGAATGAAATAACTGCTGGAATTTGTTGAAGAAGCTGAAACCGAGTTGATAAAACCCAACAAAACAAAACACTAAGCTAAAATTCATTCAACCTTTATTTAAAAAAAAAAAAAAGAAGAAGCTAAAATAAGTAAAATGCTACCTAAAAGCTAAAAGGAGCGAATTGCTCGTTAATAAAGGTAAAAGGTTAGCTGAACACTAAAAGCAGCAAAAAGCTAGCTAAAAGCAAAAAGTAGGAAAATGGTAGAAGCTAAAAGTAGTAGAATGATAATTAAAAGCAAAAAGTCTCAAAAGGAGACAAATGGAGCAGAGTTTACTGAAGCAGATTTCAAAGTGAAAGATTTTTGATGAAACTGAAAATATTTCAACGTATTTCAATGGTGGAAAACTTTTTAAAATAAAGTTAAGTATGATGAAAATCATGAAAGTTACAAAAACCAAAAACACATAACACTCATTTCCTGAATGAACTGAATGTTGAAATCAATGAAGTTATGCAGAAGTTAGATCACAAAAAAAGAAAGAAATACGAAAAACAGTTGCATAAATGCCAAATCAGTACTGACCAAATAACAACCACATATGTGGTTATATCACATACAGTATGAGACACAATTATAGTTACATGTCATAACCACACACATACATTAAATGGTTTATTTTCTTCCTTTGTAGGTGGCTTTGTAATCCTCAGATTGATTCCAAAACAAGGAAGTGGGCCATTGAAGGTCTGGCTTATCTGACAAATGATGCTGATGTGAAAGACGACTTCGTGGAAGACGAGCTTTCAATGAAAGCAATGTTTGAACTGGCTAAGGTACTACATGAAACTACTTATACAGCATCATGTTTATACACAAGCCATTCAGAAACCTCTGTGTGTGTCATAATGTTCTGCTTAGAAATGATTAGTTTTCCCCTTTATGCACAAATTTCCAAATAAAATTAAGGGGAAATTTACATGTTTCTATACATGTTAAATAGGCCATGTTTTTCCCAGCAGATTAAAGTGTCACCAAATTTTACACAAATATGTGCTTCTTATCATTCACATGAACTTATTGGTCAAAAATGTCAATAAAAGGCCTGAGACTTTTTGATATAAGTAATAAAACTGAACAAGACATGAACGCCTGTGAGCCTCAGCTCAGCAAGTTCGATGCATACAAATCTAAATCAGACAGATAATAACAAAAAAATGATTTCTTTGTGTTTTTAGTCTAGAGATAAAACAATCCTATATGCAGTTGCTTGCACCCTGGTGAACTGCACCAACAGCTACGATAAAAAAGAAATCATCCCTGAGCTGGTCCAGCTGGCCCAGTTCTCCAAACAGCACGTCCCACAGCAACACCCCAAGGTAAGAGCTGCAGAAGAAACTCACACCACAGCACTTGCATGAGCTGTCAGCTGTGTGCAAAATGTTTTCTTTTTTCAGGACAAGAAGGACTTTATAGAGAAAAGAGTGAAAAGGCTGCTGAAGGCTGGAGTCACGTCAGCTCTGGCTGTCATGGTCAAAGCAGACAGCTCTATCCTGACTGATCAGACCAAGGAACTGCTGTCAAGGTTAGGCTGTCAGCAATCAGTCAGCATCTACAAACACACCATATGACTTGAAATTTCCACCTTCAACCACCTTCCTTCCTGTTTTTATTTTTTCCATTGAGTTATCATGAAGTGAGGCATAGAAAACTGGAATAAACAATGAATATATCTCCTTTATTGTGAATACATTCTAATTTTTTTTTCTACTTTTATGTGTAGGGTTTTCTTGGCGTTAGCAGAAGATCCCAAAGATCGTGGAACAATTGTTGCCCAAGGCGGAGGAAAGGTGTGTCTTTGTCACACTTTTTCATCTTTAGATGTTTCCTGGTTTGCCTTTGCTGCTAATATTCTTAAACTTTTTTGTCCTTGTGCTCAGGCTTTGATACCGCTCGCTATTGAAGGTACAGAAACAGGAAAGGTGAAAGCAAGTTTCGCTCTTGCCAAGATTGCGGCTGTATCCAACCCAGAAATCGGTTTCCCGGGCGAAAGAGTAAGACTTTCAGCTGTAGACACTTTGACGATTTCATCGTCACGCACCCTGAAACGGCAATTTACAGAAACAAAGCACACTATTCCCACACACCCTTTGTGTACCCATTTTTTTACTTCAACCTTTGAGATGTTTTTAATGTGATAAAAATAAGGATTTATTTGCCAGCACTGTTGTGATGATGTAACTTTTTGTTTGTCATGCCCCAGAATGTAACGTTACAGTGATTGAACAAAGCCTTTTTATAAAATAAAGGCAGTTCTCAATTAAATTTTTTGGTTGACAGGTTTATGAAGTAGTGCGGCCTTTAGTCAACCTCTTGCAAACAGACAAAGAAGGATCACAGAACTACGAAGCTCTCAGAGGACTCACCAACTTGGCTGGCTACAGTGAAAAACTAAGGTGACTAAAGGACATTGTGGTCGACAAAATGTTAAAATGAATGAAGTTGCACAAGTGACTGCTCTGCCGCAGTTGTGGTTTTGAACTTCCTTGTGTTGCAGGGTTAAAATCGTCAAAGAGAAGGCTTTGCCTGAGATTGAGAACCACATGTTTGAAGAGAATGAAAAAATTCAATTAGCTGCCACAGAGTGCATGTGCAATCTTGTGACGTGCAAAGAGGTGGGAACAGATACTACACGACACAAGGACACTTTAGCTTAGCTGAACGAAAATAAATAAGTAAATGTGTGTTTTAGGTCCAAGCACGGTATCTTCAAGATGGGAATGATAAGCTGAAGCTGCTGGTGTTGCTGTGTGGAGAAGATGATGACAAACTTCAGATCGCTGCAGCCGGAGCTCTGGCCATGATCACTGCTGCTGAGAAGAAGCTCTGCATCAAAGTGACCCTGGTGGTACGTTCAGCTATGATCAGTGGTGCCAGATTAGAGGGTTTGTTTTGCAGCTACAACCTCCACAAAGAGTTTCACAAACCGAATGACTGTTTTCTTCCAACAGACGGCCCAGTGGCTTGAGATCCTGCAGAGGTTATGTCTCCACACCAACCCTATGATCCAGCACCGGGGTCTTGTGGTCATCTACAACATGCTCAACTCTGATGATGGCGAGCTGGCCAAGAAGCTGATCGAGAGCGAGTTGCTGGAAATCCTCACAGTGATTGGCAAAGCAGAGGACAATCCCAAGAGGCAGGAGGCCATTGATGTGGCCCGCACGTGCCTTGTCAAAGCCATGGATTTGGGTCTTATCAAGCCCTTCACAGGCCTGTCCTAAGACGCCGGAGCAGCAAAAAACATTTTGATTGTTGTGGTATTTTCTTGGTTAACAAGAGACTGTTTTTCCAAATAGTTTTTCAAACGATTCATCAACTTACCTGTAATTTTACAGTAATATAAATTACTTTTTTTTAGGATATTTGTTAAGATTTGGCAAACAGGTTATTTTTCCACAATGATATTGTTTTCCATATTTGTATTTGTGTGCTTTTGTTTGGCTATTTGGTTATTTAAATATATTTTTGTGTTTGACTTTACCATCTGAACTAGACCATAAAAATATATAGCCCCAATGATGTATTATGATGTTTAAATTTAATAATGTAGCCATCCATGACTTTGTGATAGAGGCCTAAAACGTATAAACAATACTGGAAACATGTTTACTGAAAACATTTCCTTTTTTATTCATAATTATATAATACTGATATGTTACAAGCTGACTAAACGCTACTTATCTTATTGTTACAATTCTTGGTGTAGTTAGAGACATTTTCAGAAGATTTAAACATTTCCACCTGCTTTAGTTGTAAGAATGACTTGGGCCTAGGCTTCTAGTTAAAGGCTTCTGTGTTATTTTAAATGAAAGAAACATGACACTTTTAATAAAGCTTTTTTTGAACAAATGTCAGAATATGAAAATTATAATCTGTTTATTCTTTAGCTGCTTGCTGTGTAGGCTTCAGAGAACAGAAGCAACAAGTCTGTGGCTTCTTCCACTGATTTATATTATATATTGAAATATATTGGGTCTTTTCCATCCCTTCTTTATATGATATATTTCGGAATCCTTCAATGTGTTCATTCACATGTGAAAAGGTTAAGTGTGTGTAATATTACTGTCAATGACTCGAAGTATACCAAACCATTTAGTTGTAAATGACACAAGACACAATTTAAATGTGATGATTTTTAATAGTATTCCCTTTAAATTTAGGTTTAAATGACCTGAAATGTGTTCCAAATTGCAACACAGTGTTTGGTAATTTTGAAGAAAAAAAAAAAACTTTGAAAATACGTAAGTCAAGTCAAGAACGTCAAAATCACACAAGTTTTGATTCACTACAAGATCACAAATGTGTATATCATTAATGTCTCCAGTAGCCCTATGTCACAGAAACTTGACAAAATTGTTCCAAATTACCTGAAGTCTCAACATGGCTGAACCCACATCCTCTCTTTTGCTCATTTTGTTTATGTTAACAAGTTTGTTACAATTGTCAGTGCACTAGAACAACGCTAATATGGACATGTAATGATACCCGACTTTAAATTCATGTTTAAATGTCCATCTCCCTCTGTGAACTCTTTTCACTATGTGTAAGATTTATTGAAAGTGTGTGTTTTTTTAACAATTAATGGTAACACCTTATTTGAAGGGGTGTTCATAAGGCTGACATGACACTGTCATAAGCATGACATAACACCTGTCATGAACATGAACGAGTCTTTATGAATGTTCATGACTGTTGTCATTAAGTGTCATTAGGTAAATTATGACATCTTTAATGCAAAGTTGACATTTTTATCTTGGTTAATGTCAAGTTGTCATGGCAAAGACATTTTGACCAATGCCATCTTTGCATTAAAGGTGTCATAATTTACTGAATGACACTTAATGACAACAGTCATGAACATTCATAAAGACTTGTTCATGACAGGTGTTGTGTCATGGACAGTGTCATGTCAGCCTTATGAACACCCCTTCAAATAAAGTGTTACCCAGTTAATAGAAACATAAATCTGTCTGTGTTGTCCTGTTGAATCCAAGTGCCGCTCTCTGTGCATTCTGCTCTCCCACACACTTCTTGTGGTTTGATGATGTCACCTCACTAACATTCACTGTTTTGTGATCCACAATACTTCTTGCAATCACTGATTATCTAGAGAGAAAATACTAAAGTAAATAGTAATTCATATATGTACACAATTCTAGCAAAAAAAAAAAAAACTTTTATCTATCCAAAAATGTTGTCATGTCCTTCTGAAGTTCAAGAGAAAAATCTTGTGACCTGGAGTACTGATTTATTTTCTCTGCTACCATGTGTGGACTTCATGAACTTGTGTTGTCAGTGAGATTGGAGTACACAGAATAATCTGTCACACAACAGAAACACAAACAACAAACTGTTATATTAAGTTTAGTATTCTCAATTATCCCCTCCTTGGGCTGCTACCTTATTGTGGTGGAGGGGTTTGAGTGTCCCAATAATCCTAGGAGCTATGCTGTCAGGGGCTTCATGCCCTATAGGGTCACCCAAGGCAGACAGGTCGTAGGTGAGGGACCAGACAAAGTGCAGCCCACAGACCCCTATGATGAGCAAAATGAATGGAATCAATGTTCCCTCGCCTGGACGTGGGTCACTGGGGTCCCACTCTGGAGCTGGGCCTGGAGGTGAGGCATGCTGGCGAGCGCCTGGTGGCCGGGCTTTTACCCATGGAGCTCGGCCGGGCACAGCCCGAAGAGGAGACGTGGGTCCCCCTTCCCATGGGCTCACCACCTGTGGGAGGGGCCAAAGGGGTTGGGTGTAATGTGGGATGGGTGGTGGCGGAAGACGGGGACCTTGGCGTTTTGATCCTCGGCTACAGAAGCTGGCCATTGGGACGTGGAATGTCACCTCTCTGGTGGGGAAGGAGCCTGAGCTGGTGTGTGAGGTTGAGAGGTTTCGGCTAGAAATAGTCGGACTCATCTCGACACATGGCTCTGGCTCTGGAACAAGTTTCCTTGAGAGGGCTTGGACACTCTTCCACTCTGGAGTTGCCCCTGGTGAGAGGCACCAAGCAGGAGTGCCCTTGGTGAACAAGAGGGTAGTTTCCCTCCGCCTACGTGTGGGGGGACGGGTTCTGACTGTTGTTTGTGCTTATGCACCAAACAGCAGTTCAGATTACCCACCATTTTTGGAGTCCTTGGAGGGGGTATGGGAGAGTGCGCCTCCTAGGGACTCCATTGTTCTGCTGGAGGAATTCAACTCTTATATGGGCAATGACAGTGAGACCTGGAGGGGTGTGGTTGGGAAGAATGGCCCCCCTGATGTGAACCTGAGTGGTGTTCTGTTGTTGGACTTCTGTGCTCGTCAAGGATTGTCCATAACGAACAACATGTTCAAGCATAAGGGTATCCATATGTGCTCTTGGCACCAGGACACCCTAGGCTACAGTTCATTGATCGACTTTGTTCTCATCTCATCTGATCTGTGACTGCATGTCTTGGACACTCGGGTGAAGAGAGGGGCGGAGCTTTCCACTCAGGGCCAGATTAACACTTCACTGTACCCTGAGCAACAATCTTCAAGGGCCCCATCATCATGACCCCAGAATCACCATAATCTGGCAAAATACAGAATTAATTACCATAATACACAGTAAATATACTTCAAATTCTAACTATCAAATGTATTTTTATGTGTAAAAATCCAAATGCTCATAATAAATGCTATGTACTCTTGTTGAAACAAATCATCCAGACCGAGTTCAGTTGAACGCACTTTGAACACCATATGACACCATATGTGTAATTGTTTAGCAACGTGTTGGCCATTGATGTCAGAAGCATTTGTAATGTGTGTGTGTGTGTGGAGGGGAGGAGACACTGATGGGGGAGTGGGGTCTGGGGGTCGTCCCCCATAAAATTTTTAATAAAGTAGATGCCATTTCCTGCATTCTACTGTATTTTAATGGTTGTTTAACATCTAGTTTTACCTACATAGGTAAACACTTGATTCAATAAATATTTTAGAGTTAATGGCACAACAAGAAGTAGCCTGACCAACAGCTGATTCAATTAATTAAAAATATTATTTATTCAAAGGTGACGATTTGATGCCCACATTAAAATTAAATGACTGCAACTTAGTTGACTTAAAATGCCATAAGATTATCAATGAATGTTTGCGACAAAGTATTTACTGATTATAACAAAGATTCTTTCAAGAAACCTCCCAATATAAATCCATCCATCCATCCATTATCTTTACCCGCTTCTTCCTTTCTGGGTCACGGGGGTCGCCGGTGCCCATGTCCGGCAATCATTGTGCGAGGGGCGGGTACACCCTGGACAGGTCGCAAGTCCATCACAGGGACACATAGAGGTAAACGAGACAAACAACCATTCACTCTCTCACTCACACCTAGAGACAATATAGAGTTACCAATCAGCCTAACATGCATGTTTTTGGTCTGTGGGAGGAAACCAGAGTACCCGGAGAAAACCCACACATGCACTGAGAGAACATGCAAACTCCACCCAGAAAGGACCGAGATTTGAACCAGGGACCAATATAAATAATAAAACCATAATGACTTCTGCTCATTCTAAATTTGTCAAATGGCCTATGTCTCCTAAAGTGAAGGAGAACTAAAATAATAAAAATAAAATAATAAATGAGATACATATATCCTGTAGCCATGTTTCTTGAAAGATTTAAATTGGATGTTGATTTATGTGCCTTTTGAAAAACAGAAGATGAATCCCTCGAGCATTTTTATTTTTTTCATGTCAATACAAATTCTTTGGTCAGACATCAGAAACTGCAAAGTACCACATTAACTGTAGTAAGAGGAGGGATAATAAGCCCTCCTTCCTGTTTTATGAACGATTTTAAGTCATACTATTCTTCATCAAGTAGATTAAAAAACTGCAAAACAGCTAGAATCATCTCACAACAGATAAAAACTTACTGTTATAATTAAAACAATGTTTCTCATATAGCCATACTCCTTCGTTTTTTATTTATTTAATGTTTAATGTTTATTGTTGGACTCCTGGCAGGGACCAATGCAGACATGTTCTTGTTTTTAGTTTTATACATTTGTCTCGGAATCTAGTAGTTTTTTTGGTTTTGTTACCTTTTTCCTTTTAGCCATCCTATTTGTTAAAAAAAAAAAAAAAACCCATAAAAAAAAACTGTAGTATGAGTTTTTATAACTGCTTATTGTTGTTGCTGTTGTCCATTGTTGTCATCTTTCTTTGTTGAAATCAGGTCTCTCTTGTAAATGAGTCCTCGAG